TCCTTGGGGGACTGCATTTCTGTGCTGGAGTCAGATTCAGATCCCGAAGCTTCTCTTTCCCTCATTTTCTCGTGGTATCTGAAGGCGCTGGATTCAGACAGTTCACTTTGCTGTTGCAGGATGTCATAAGAGTTCGTGGATGCATGGATGCCGGCTACTGTGGTATTGCCCGTCTTTTCTTGGTGCTTCATGCATGCAACCTGGATGTCAAATTCCTTTTCCCTCTCATACCTGGCTTTTTCCGGGTAGTCCTTCAGCCAGAGGATGGGGGAGTCTCTGCTGTCTTTGGGCTTCCCCGTTCCATCCTTCTTGTTCGGTGAGATGCCCATCCCTTTCTGGGTGGCCAGATCTGAATCTGAGTCTCCACCGAGGCCTGGGCCCCTCTGGGAGCCCTGTGAATTCTTGTCATTGGAGGGGAATTTGTATCAGTGGTTGTGATACCTTCTCTTTTTCTTTCATCATTTCCTTTTTGGAGGAAGGCCTCTCTCTTGAGGGTGGATTCTGACTGCGGGCTTCGTTCCTCTATAATCTGTCTGACCTTGTTGAGGATGCTTCTGTCATAGTCTGAGTTGGGAAAGGAGTCGCCGGTTTGCTGTCTGAAGGACTCCAGGTCCCACATCAGATCCTTGATGACTGGAGTCAATCACCGGGTCAGAGTGAAATTTCCCAGGGAGTTTGGTGCTTTTCTTCGCGCCCATGAAGTGCCATTTACTGTCCGACGGCAGGAAGATGTCAGGTTGCTTGGTCGTTGGAGCGGTGTTGCTGTATGTTGATATCCACTTGGGTTCTGCGATGTTGTTGTCAAAGACCCAGCCATCGTAGTCTGAGTCCTTGATGAACCAAATCCATTTTGCTGCGTACTGGGGAGGTTTTTGTGAGACTGAAATGGTTGAGGCCTTGTCCCCAATGAGGCATCCCCACGTATCTGGGAAAACAGGAGGATTGTCGGTATGTACCTCCAGGATTGCTGTTACTGAATCACAGTGGGGGCCCATAAAGTCGGGTGTGGGTAGGACCCACTACACCGCCTTGTTGGCCGGGTATTCCACTTCCAGGCGATCTTTGATCAGCGGGCAACCTTTGAGTGGGATGTTGTCGAATTGGATCGAGAACTGTTCCCTCATCGGACGCTGTTTGTAAGATGCAGCCGGCGAGACGTGTTTCCGGTTTCCAGCGAGACAGGGAACAAACGGAGCCATTGCAGTTCAAAGTTTTGCATTTTTCCAATATTTGTGTAGCTTGGCATCTGTGAATACCACCGTCATCATGCTTCTTCCTGGACTGAGAAGGGAGAATTTGTCGACTTCACTTCTGGTGATTTCATATTCTAGGATCGACGTCACAATCCATTTCCTCTTCTCGATGGGAGAGATTCGAGCTCCGGCATCAGAGAAGGTGAAGACGAGGGCGTGTTTTTTGGATTTAGCGTTTGTGTCCGTGATTTTGTCTTTTGGCTACGCCCATGCAGTCACTTCTTCTTGTGTTGTCACCTGTGTTTCGGACTTCGATTGTGGCTTTCTTGCCATGGATTTGTGGAGCTTCCAGCAGGAAGCGCAGTGTTTCGTGGTCTACTGTGGAGGCACTATGAGTTGGTGCCTTCTATGCCGCTGTTTTGGCTTTAATGCAGATACTGTGTTTGTGTTCTTTTTTTATATTTTTTCTATCCTTTCAAAGTATTATTCCTCTATGTAAAGGTTTGTTAGGATTAATTCCTCTCCTTTTTTTCCAACTGCGGGTGGATCGCAAGCAAGGGTGTGATGCGGGGTTGTCAGTGAAGGCTGTTTATGCCATATCTAGAAGTGTGGTGGGTAGCAAAGGGGTGAGTGGTGACGAGGGATAAGGAGATTCGTGCTTGATTGTTATGTAAGTTTCTTTTTTCGTTTTTCGTTTGTTTTATTTACGTTCGTGTGTGTCTGAGTTGGCCGATTCTATCATCAGTGGATTGTGCGGATTAAAGGTATGTGAATCTATAGTGAGACAAGCTTCTTGATATTGGTCTGAGAGGTGGTAGGTGCGGTGGTGCGAAGAGAAGAGCCCGAGTACGTGGACGCAGTTGGAGAAGGAGATCAGCTTGAACAGTGGGGTTGGTGATTGGATAGCAAGGTAGGCGGGCCATTAAGGTGGGAGGGTGGGAGGGTGGGAGGGGGGTTCACGGGGAGGTATCGAGGGGGGGTGGGTATTGAAGTTTTGGGTAGGATGTTGAGTGGGGAGTGTGAGTGCGGTGGGGAAAGGGAGGTGGGGAGGTGATTTAGTCTAGGGAGCTGTGACCCGTTTGGAGGCGAGCTACATTGAAGGATGGAGTGGAAGACGTCAGTTAGTGATGGTGGGATCTTGGAAGGGTCTCACCGCTGGATCTTGGTAAAGGAACGGCGAGAAGTGTGGAAACGACTTGTAGCGAAAAGGTCTTCAATACCTGCAGTACGTCCGCCAAGGTGACTGCTGGGCAGCTGCTTTCTGGGGAGTCTACCCGTACCTTCGAGGGGAGTCCTGGGTAGCTGTGGCAATGGTGCACGTAGGGCAGAGGTGGCAACTGGGTAACTGTTGCCCGTACCCGACCGTACCCAATTGTAACCGGCAGGCTATGGGCAGGTACGGGTACCCTTCCGAAGGGGGGCATCGGTATGGGCAGGCATAAATTTTATTCGTGGATTTCAGGGAGGCACAGTTGCACTGCGTGGAGATCATGGGCAGGCATGGGGGGGTACTGGTGGTGAAAAGGGAAAAACCGCAGGTATGGGCGGCCAAGAAAAAAAAAAAGCATGGGTACAACCGTTATAGGGTGCTAAAAAAAAAAATCAGATGGGCATGGGCGGGTAAGCAATTATGCCGGTTAACCGTACGTAATATCCACCTTCCCCCCCCCCCCCTTCCCCCCTTCCCTTCTTCCCAGGAAATATGCAGACTGGCGGAGCTGTTTTTTTCTTAGGCACAATTTTTTTCCTGCCGCAAACGGCAAGAAAAATATTTCAGGAAATTGGGCACTTTTGAAATTGGAAGGCTCCAGCCTTGCCTCAGAGAGTTCCCCCCTTGGAAATTGGCCGACGGCATGGTTGTACCCGCCGCCCTTCTGTGTGTGCATGCCACTGCATGGCCATCGTCTGCCCGTCATGGTTGTAGCCGCTGCCATTCTGTGTGTGCTGCACGGCCGAGAGAGAGACACACAGACACACACACACAGAGGGAGAGAGAATGAGAGATAGGGAGAGAGAACAGGTAAGTCTCCAACCTTGTGGCTGGCCTCACGCTACTTTCATCGATAGGATGAGCAAAATTGAATGAATCTTCTGCGGAGGGCAGTTAGAGGGGATAGGGGGTGGCTAGGGCCGGTTAGGGGCAGTTGGGGATGGTTAGGGGCGATCAGGGCGGTTAGGGGCGGTTGGGGACAGTCAGGGGTGGTTATAGGAGGGTGGGTCACAAATGCGGATGGTTAGGAGTAGGGGTGGCGGTTAGGGGCGGTCAGGGACATTATGGGCAGTTAGGGGCGGTTGGGGACAGTTAAGGCTGGTTAGGGGAGGCTGGGTCACAAGTGTGGATGGTTATGGGTGGGTGCATACAATTGTGGGTGGGTACGGGTGGGTAGGGGTGAAGAAAAGTTTTGGTTGGGTACAGTACAGGTGGTTAACAAAAGGTTTGG